ATTTAACATGCCACACAGCTTGCTTACCATACCTTGACATGTTCATACATGTTCCATGAGCTCTTTTGCAAACGTGTTCGAGGCATTCCAAAAATGCAGCCACTTGGAAATGTACCGAGCCCGACCCAAAACGAACAAACATCACGCAGACTGGTGCACAATCATCCGAGCCCCTTCCCGAGTCCCATCCCGGCGATCGAATATTCGGTCGGCCGTGCCCCCCCAACGAAAGACAGCGCAACTGGCTCCCTGTTGGACTTGGTCTGCACGTTCCAATGATGCAGGTGCACTCTCGAGACTTGAATCACCTCAAATGAAGCATGAAAAGTACCCCTTTCGTCTCAGGCCCACGACACCAAGTACTAGGGGCTGTGAGATGTGGCTTCATTTGTAGGTTCGTTCAAAAGCGCGAACGGTCTGAAAACGGACGGCTTTGGGTCCGCTCTCAGGCACCTCCCTCCGTGGGTTCGGCAGTCCGGAGGAAGCTGGTGAATTTGTGCAAGTCCTGAAAACGCTGCTGCCCGTAGCTCGCTGCCATGGACTTCATCTGCTGTTGCCTCTCTTCTTTGCTCTGCTTCTGCTGTGCCATATGGGCATGAAACTCGGGGTTGTGATAGCCTCAAAGGTGCAGCACCGGGGGTCTTGTGCGGCGCTCTGGTGTTCGGCCGTGAAGAAAAGAACATGACAACAAAGGACTGGCTCAGTGAATTTAAGAAAGCTCATCTCAGCCCCATCCCAATCGGATTCAAAGGATCAGGTGAGGTGGTCCTCTCGGCCCAATGCAGGTGAATACCTGGTACCTCAGCCGGTGACCTATCCGGGAGACTTTAGAAACCGGCGAGTCTGCAGCCAGGCCGAATCCCTTTAAACCAGCTTGTGCAACTCACATCACACCGGATGAGATGTGTCTTCCACCAGGGTCACCCCGAACTTATGAAGGCAAGTCGCGGAACTTGAGCCGCAACTTGGGCGAGACTTTGTCCGCCAACAGGTTCACCAACGCATGTCCAAACATATCGCCAGGTGCGCAGACCTCCAAACTAGCATTGGAAGGTAGCAGCCCCACCCAGGTGTCCCACTCATGTGGTGGTTGCAGAAGGTGTTTGCTGATCACTGCCAGTGGCAGCACCATGTGGTACAGCAGGGAGGTGCCTTGCTGAAGTCTTTTTCTCACCAGGAGCTTCAAACTAATCTGCAAAGGACAATCCACCAGGTCAATGCCGGTGGCCTTCAATAAAGACGCACACTCAAAAAGTACGCAGCCCTCACTGGTGGCGAGTTCGGTGAAGAGCTCCTCCGCCTCGGGTACGTGTTTGGAGTCCACGATGGAGACGTTCACAAAGGTCTCACTGCTGTGATCGGGACTCACCGGCGAAGACATCCAGGCGGCGTCGGCGAAGAGCGCGCGGCGTCACCAGCGCGCGGCGAAGAGCGCGCGGCGTTTCACGCTCAGCTCGCCCACGAGGTCGAGCAAAAGACACTCATTGTGGACCAAGGGCGCGAGCCAACCCGCCCTGCTGATCGTTGCATCTACTTTCTAGTGGAGGTTTTAATAGGTTTGTAGTATAAAGTGTCCAATGGCTGGTTGCTCAGAGTTGAAGTATGCAGCCAAGCAAATGAGGAGAGGAGTGGAGAGCAACCCTATCGATATATACATATATATATATATGCATATATTAATATATATATATATATACATCCGTGTGTGGCCCAGTGTTATGTAGATCTCCATGTGACTAATTTTGCTGCACACAACAGCGCCCAAAAAGACTTCCCACTGGATGGCATCAGCTTCGAGTGAGAACAACATCCATGCATAAAGCCACCGCCCTGCGACAACCCAAGCAACTAGACTCAGAATCGAGGAGAAGTCGTCACAACAGTGAGCGAAACCCTGCCTTTCTAGAGGTAGACTTATAACCACTATATATGTGGAGACGTCTTCTAACAATGCCCGATGCTCAATTTCCGAGATTTGCCAATCATACACTCCCTACAATAGTCATGGAAGTGGATGGCATGGCCCCGAGTTCGGATGACCATGAAATCCGAATACCAAACAAGTGGTTTCCACTTCCATGATCTTCAGGGAGTGTATGTGCAAAAACCGGCCTCATCTGGACCACCTCAAGGTTCCGCTTGGCATCGTCCAAACCCTCCACGTCACGAGCGATATCCAGCTTGGCCTCAGACAAGCTCAGCTGGAGGGGTCAGCAGAGTGTTGGATGTTCCCAAAAGAAATGGTTGCAGGCCAAGCGTCCAAGTCATTTAGAATGCTGCTCTTTTCGAGAAAGTTTGCCTTAGAAAGGTCTAAGGACAGTCTATTAATTGCCCATGCCATGCTGGCCATGCTTGTCCAAACATGCCAAAAGCCAGGATGCGGTGGCACGAGCAGCTTCTAGATATTGCACGGCCCTTTCACACCGGAGAACCTCGCCGCCTTTGATCCTGACGGCACAGAAGCCGCTTCGGCACGAGATGCTGCGGAAACGAGTGCTTGGCCCACAACACGTCTCAAATTGGGACCCATGGCCCATGCAAACCCATGCCACCCCAACTTGCTCACCTCTTTGTTCTCCCGGATTCTCCCGTTGATTCGCATGGCATCCGGTCCACCGTTTTAACGAAAAAACACGCCGTCCACCGGTCACGGTTGAGAAGCGGTTTGAGGCGTTCCCGCGGCCCCGTTCTGCCTGTTCTGCAAGGAGGCCGAGGCCTGCAAGGACTTCTGCAGCGGCGAGCAGGGCACTGACTTGGACCGGAACTGGGTCGTGGGCTCCTCGGAGCCGAGGAGCCAGCGGTGGAACGGAGCCAAAGAACCTCCAAACCAAAGCAACGAGCAACGAGGATCCGAACGAGCATGCTCATTTCACCATGCGTCTGGGACTGCCACATCTTCACAGAATGTACAGTTACTCAGTCGTGCTCATCAGTACTCACCTCTATTTAGGTGCTTGCTCCACCTTCTCCTGCCAACTTCAGCCCCAAACAGCCATGCGGGCGCGATGAAGGCAGAACCGGAATTTGTCCAAGCATCACCCAAGCTCCATCCACCGGGGCTCCCGAGGGTCCCGGGAAGTCTGGGCGATCCTGAGTCACACATGCGAGTGGAAAGCGAAGTGTGCAGCGTTGTACAGGGCACGCCAGTGCTAGGACAATAGAAAAAGGATGCCATGCTGTGATTCTCTCTCTCTCTCTCTCTGTCTGCGCGCGTCAGAACAGCTGTAATGGATGGATTGTGCAATGTTAGTGGCAATGTCTTCATCAAGATGGATCACTGCTGTTCAAACTTTTAACTTACGCCCGAGCACTTAGGCAGTATGAACTCACCAAAACGGGCCCAAGGTAAGGGTAGTTTTCCCCTGGACTGGACATCCAACGGCTTACGGGTTCGCGAGGTCTGCAGCCTTGGCACCTTCCATGCTAAAAGAGCCGCCAGAACATCTAAAGCGGACTCTCTTTCGCAACGGGCTAGGAAGCTCGACAATTCTTGGATTACTATATAATGCATATGCGGTAGAACTGTCTAAGAAGTAGGGAAACTGCTTACAAGCCCCAGTGACTAGTGCTTGGGTCGTTTTCACTGCTAATGACATGGGTGTTGCCCGGGTCATGTTGCCCATCTTCCTGGAATCCTCGTTCCGCCCAAAGAGCCAAAAGGTTGAGTACACAAGTCACGTATGGTGCCTGTAGGTGAAGCATCAAACCCCAAAAAAGGACCCAGCCACTTTTCAGTGGCGAACTTCGCATTAACGACACCACGCTCGTTCCGCTGCTGTCTTTGTTTTGGCTGCAATCTCAACCATACCCTTGGTCATCGGGAAGGCACTGCCTGAGCTAGTGCCATTCAGGCAATTTGACCATGTCAAAGTATAGACTTTCAAACGCCCTAAGTCCTGACCCCTATGGCCCTATGAAAGAACAAAACCTTCTGACTGATGTTCCCATGGCCATTGCTAAGTTTGGGGCACCAAGACTGGAAAGTATTGAAGCGATGTAGTTCTCCGGGCCTGGGAAGATGGAACCATCCGATGAGCCGGTTCGATGAGCCGTCCGACTTATGAGGCATCCCATGACATGCCAGGGGATGCCAAACCCAATGATCCAGACCTACTCTCATCAAAAGTGGTGTCTGGAAGGACAAAAATGTACATCGGTGCCTCTCTCAATCCAATTTCAAGCATCACTTCCGAGCACCTGACCCACAACCAAAGCCATGAGGCATGGTCCCAGTCACCTTCAGAAAGTGGCACTCTCAATCATAGTTGTGTTGGGTCACGTTTTGGAGCGTCAGGGCTTGACCTGAAGCACCTCTCACCGTTGTCCCACGCGGCCTGTCTGCTCATGGGCGATTTCTCCCAGAATCTGCGCCACCACGGCGCCCACACCCGCGCCCCGACCTGGCCCGAAGGATGTGGCCGTGAACGGAAGGGCACAACGAAGCGCACGGACGCGCTGCGCCGGTGACACGCACCGTGTCGGTAGGAGAATCCACCAGAGGTCACGAAGCCAATCAAAGATCGGATCGTCTCCACCTGGGGCGAACGGTGAGGGAGGCCAAGCCCTGTGGGTCGCCTGTCATGGGACTTCGACCGTGTTCACGTTGAAACGAGCCATGAGGTCTTTTGCTGACTTCTGGCACTAGAGTCTGAGGACGAACTGACGAGACGCTTCAATCCTTGTGCAAAACAAGCCCCAAATTCAAGCCAAGAGCTGTCCCGCCTTCGCTGCTTCCGGCTGCCGCCGGAGGCGTCCCAGCTTTTGGTTTCGGTGAAGCGGCTCCTACAGTCAGGCGCTTCCGCTCAGCTCAAAATGTCTGCGTGGACAACTGCTGTGGTCTCACACGTTTCATTCTAAAGGTGACACCGACCATAACGTTGGTAGCTGATCTGCCCACTGGCGACACCTTCAAGGCCTCGACCTTTCTAAAGAATTCGGATCATCAGATCAGTAAAAACTGATCTATGAGCCCCGTGACGTTTTCCAAAAATCCGCAGGCGCCTCTTTTTATCAACCCTCTGTGCCATACCCTCAGCACTTACGCCATCAGTAGTGGTGATGCTGAGCCTCCTGTGGCTGAAGCACCAAAGCGACCAGATCCTGCGGCTCCCAAAAGAAGTCGGTTCTGTTACTGTTGAACAAATTGCCCGTATGTTGTTTCTTGTGTACTTTTCGGATGCTTTTTGCTGTCTTATCCCGTATCTCGTGACTTTGCGGGCACCATTTCGTGAAGCCCCTCACCGAAAAACTTGAGGGAGGAAAAAAAACGATGGGTTTGCCCAGGAGAAGTTGACTTATGTTCTCGCGACTCCCGCAAGGGGCCTGGCTGCTTTCTGTTGCAAAGCTCCAAAATTACTTGAAGTCGTCTTTGTGCCCGAGCATTCCATCGAGAGTGAGATCTATATAAGTGAACCCAACACAATCAGAGAAAGGATGGTCCACCCCGGTTCAGAATTCTTCGCGCCCCTATATATTGTGAATCAAACACTGAACTTCCGCGGTTCAGACATTCTTTTCAACAATTGATGCCGTCCTTGAAGAATGGCGCGGCTCAAGCACATGCCCAGTGAACGATGCAAAGTGTGGAGCTCATCTTTGCTACACTTCACCGTGCCCTGAGAGGTTGCCTCAGTCCATGCGCTTTTGCATCTTTTACGGAGACGCTTTCGCTGAGAGGCTTTCCGCACTTCCGTTCACAGGAGAGAAACGTTGGGGAGAGAGGAACCCCGTGATCTCAGGAGCCCAGGTACAACATGCGCAATCCTCATGAGCGCCAAGACTTCCTCGGGCTCGAAGGGACAAGGATCTTCGTCCAATGCCGTGGCTAGCTCTTCCTGCACCAAACTGCGAAACAGCCCCGTTTAGACCCCACAGACCCCCACATCTGTTTTGTGAAATGCACCACCTGAACCCCAAGAGCCTTTCAAATGATCACATGCACCGGGTGGCTGGAGCCATAGTGGACTACAGTGACTCCAGATTACATGTGTCATGTCATGCCCTCCCAGCGGCATTTCACTGACATTTCGGCTTAATGATGCAAGCCGCTCCATGTCAAATGTATCCTGGCATGCCTGCAATGTATGAGATCACACCAATGCAAGTTTGGATGATGAGCCGGACTGTAAGCAAACACCACTTAGGTCGGTCCTGAAGGACATGTAGCTGCACGTTTGCTGGCGCAAAGCCGTGCGAGAGCCTCAAGCAAAACTAAGATCTTGCAGCTGTAGTGTCTTTACAAGCAATTCCGACCTCTCCTCGTCTCTTGCGCAACCCCAACAACCGGCCGCCCCTGACCCATTTTCAGATGACCCATGGTGGGGCCAATTTGTGGAGATCTCCAAGACCGCTGCAGTCATGGAACAATTTGACGAGCACAGGTGCCCAGGAGGCCGCTGGCCGCCGTGCCCTTTGAAGAGCGTGGCAGTGTGAATACCTGTGACGATTGACAAGCAGCAGTGGCAGTTTCGAAAAGACCCCCTGCCTGTTACGGTAAAGGCTTGAGATGTTGCAAGAACATGTGCAAGAATTTTTGTATCGATCTTGGGCCAGGCTGCTGGATATAGAAGTACAGACGCGCAGATGCCGGCAGGGTGGGTAATGGCCTGGGGGCTCCTGGAGGTGCCAGGGCGCCCAGCAACGCGGGAGAGGGGCAATCATCAAAGGACTCTTCCAAGTTCGCAGGTGCTAAGGCAGAGAGCAATGCCGCCATGTTCTCTCTCCCCATCTCATCGCAGAAGTCGGAGATCTCCGCCGCACCGCGTTCGGCCACCTGGTCCGCCTCTGGCCGGCGCTTGGGCTTCGGCATGCCCACCACCGCCCAGCAGGCCCAACTCAAGGCCCCCAACAGGTCGCTTTCTTGGTGCAAAAGACGTGCACGACGCCAGCAGTGTTGACGCCCCAGCTCACTGAGCTCGAGATCTTCCAGCAAGGCTAGCACTTCCCAAAGGAGCTGCTCATCTTCCACTGCACTGCCACAATATTTGTCCGCCAAAGTCTCTAAGAATTCTCTAGTGGAGGGCCCACCTGCACGCAAATAATTCAAAGCAAAGCCCCACAAACGAGGTGTGCCCCGGCTCAAATCCTCCGCATAGGCCATCAAATGCTGATCCCGGATGGGCATCTGCCCCTCAGGTGTCTCAGCAGAGACTGGCAGCCGACCAGCATAGTAGAGCAAATCGACCACATGAACCTGAAAAAAGCTGGGAAAATTCTCCGGCATTGATGACAACAACTCCAACAGGCTGGGCACATTGGAGGTCAGTGACGCCATGAAAACGAGATCCACTTGATCAACCTTGTCTTCTTGGCGCCTTCGAGTCACTGCCTGTAGCAACTCACCCAGCTCAGATCGTCTTAGGTCTGGAAACACCCAGGCATGCGTGAAGACAAAGTCTTCGATCCAGGTGCGGCTGAATTTCCAGGCCACATCCTTGTTGGCCTCAAACTCCGCTTGGCTGCACCCACCATAAACACTGATCAGCGGGTGTAGCGGATGTGACTCGGAGACCTGCAGCTTCCGCGCCTCGCCTTGCATCTCTGCGATGACTTGGCGGAACTCCACCGCCGTGGCACCCGCTTGCTCCATCTGTCGCATGGATGGGATCTGGGAAAGAAAATCACAAAACTGCTGAATTTGCCTCGGCAGACAAGTGCATCACAGCCTGGTGAAGCCGAACATCACAAAACACGGAAATGTTCAATCTGATAGCGTTCATGCAGCCTGCCCCCAAAAAGCATCTGCCCCCCAGTACAGTGGTCAGTAGTTCCTCCAAGCTTGTGAAAAATTCCCGCTGAGGCAAGACTGACACATACACATACCTTCTGCTTGGGATGGCCATCTTCTCATTGCCAAGTCGCTGATCCTCATGAGCCACAAGCTCCAGGAGCTCTTGAACCTCAGCCTTGTAGTCCGCCAAGGCCAGTCGACAAACGGCAGGCCAAAAGGCGGAGTCCTCCACTGGCCCGATTGGTCAGGCTAAAGAGCCATCTTAGCTAGAGTCAGAGGTTCGTCTGCTTGGGCCTGCTTGTCTATGCAAATGGTGTCCAAGAATCTATATATTCTCTTTGACTCTTGACTCTCTTGACTGTTGGGAGCATCTTGCTGGCTATTCAGTTTGAAAATCTCCATCCCCTGAGTGTGTATACCTCACAATATGTGATAGACGCTTAAAATCCAACACAAGCTGAATATCTTTGCCGTATTCTGCTGCTTGGTGTCATCACCGTCCTTGTTCAAGACGTCCTCGGAAGCATCCTGCGCTTCCCGAAACCAATCGGAGACATCCTCCTCGCCTGATCGACTGGGTAATGTGTGCAGCGACGTGACTAGCAGCAAAGAGCAGAGAACCATTTACCATGTATGAGCCTCGCTAGTCACTAGCCACTAGCAGCTAGTCACTAGTCACTAGTGTGGGAAATACCAATGGCATTGCCTGGAACACGTTGGGAGCAGCCCTTCTGTCCCGTCTGCATGACACAAAGACATGTCCAAGAACAGCCGCGGACACCATCAAAAATCATAAAAACAAGACCCACGACCAAGCCCATCAGCTTCTCCAGAGGCTCGCCTTCCAGGTAGTGCCGGCTGTACCACCGCAGCAGGCCGGGCGCCACCGCTGACGGATTCAGCATGGCTTCCGTAATCAGTTCGACGACAGCCAGGCAGAAGGAGAGCTGCTCCTCGGGCTGCCCCGGTCGATTCGCAGGTAGGGTGTCACCCGCGGAGACGAGCGTTCACCCATCTGTGGAACGTTGGACACTGAGTCGGACCCCGATTCTGAAGCATGCAGAGTCTTGGTCACTCAATGTGCGGTATGAAACTGCAACTGGCGCCAGAACACCAGGAATTACATCTGATCCGGGTGTAAAGGCCGGACCCCTATTCACTGCCGAGCCTCATCCCTGGCATTCTCCGCTCGCCCCGCCCTTCGAAGCTTCTCACGGGCCCGGTTCAACTCCACGGCAATGCCTGCGGCATAGTCCAAGAGCATCTCCTGCACGTAGGTCGTGTCCTCGGCAGTAGGAGTCGAGGTCGTGCTCGACTCACGATCAAAACATATCAAATCTGCCATGCACAAACAGCTACCCACACCGAGCTTCAACAGGGACACGCATCAATTCCACCTGCTCATGGATGGCTTTTGCTTTCACCTCAGTTCCAGAAAAACGCTGCTGTCAGTCGACCAACCACCTTCTACCAGCTCCATCAAGCTGAAGAGCTACATCTGGATCGCCTACAGTACATTCGTTCTTCGTAGAGCCAAAGCACCTGGAAGGCACTGAACTGATGCAAGAGCCGCTCGCAGAGCTCCACGGGCGGCACCCCGACGGCCCCGGAGCCCGGCGCCTCAGCGAGATCAGGGCTGGGCACCACACTAAAGCGAGTGAGTCAGGTGTCATACATGGTCACACCCATTGCGCTCGTTTTTGGACCAGAGGCCGCCGAGGCACCGAGCTCGGCGGAGCTGGGGTCGGCATGCTTGGCTGGTCGGAACTGGGGAACGTGACCGGGAGTGACTGGGTCTGGCGACGTGTCGGAAGCTGTTCCAAGGTGAGTTCGGAGGTGGCTGCTTGTTTTACTGAGGGATGGCTGAAGAAGCCAAGCTCCTCTGGCTAGTGTTTACCCGTTTTTTTTGTGTGTCATGATGCCCTCATGCATGGCCTTGGGGCGACAATTGAATGACTACCTATGGGCCCTTGAAAGTCCAAGCACACGGAAGTTCCTCTGCTCAGTTGACAAACCGCCATGAAACTGCTAGAAACATAATTCACAAGCCCTTGAAGGCCTAAGCTGACAAAAGCTCGCATGCTCTCAGTGGATGTGACAAAAGCTGAGACTGACCTCAGTCAGGTCTTGTGGATTTGAACATGTCACTCCTCCAGCGTAGGGGTCTCCGTCACTGGTGCAGGGCAGCTGACCGTCACGAGATGTCCTGACATCGTGGCTGGCAGTCACGAATCTCCCTGCACGGGATTTCCTCGTCCATGTCCGAAAGGACCAGAACCTGAAGACCCCTACAACAGTGGTTACAGTGTTTAAAAATGTTTAAAGAGTCAAAGATGGAGCAACCATAGTCACCGCATCCCGCGCTTCAAGAAACCGAAGCAGCATGATCCTTTTGATCCAGGCTTTTGCGCGACTTTCTTGCAACTTTTGTCAGAGTTCATCTGTCTCACCAAAGCTATTTAAGCAGCTATTTACAAATCCTCGGAAAACAATTGCAAGACAGCTCAGAATTTGAGTTTCAACTCAATCTTCTTCTGTGCCAGAGGGGTTCCTCTGGGGATACTTCCTGTGGCCTCGGTGCGGCCTGCCGTAACATGTGCCCGAAGCAGCTCCTGCACCGTTCGTTGGCTCTCTGCTGGCAGTCGCTGGACCTCATTCTTCAGGCCGCCTTGGTCTATCTGGGCAACCTGCATCAGGCAACGTGCCATTGATGTCTTTTGGACAGACTCAAGCTTGGCAGATGCCAAGGCACATACCAACTGTAAGACCAGCTGCAGGGTGACTATTTTCGCCTCCTGTACTTGTAGCAGAGTGGGGAAGATGCCCCATGCCTGCTCCATGGCCAGAGGCTGCATCTTCGGAGGCTCCATAGCAATCGCCGCCACCAAGCCCGGCACGATGACACTGCAAAGGTCAGAACAGGCAGGCTGTTGGAGAAGGCTTTGAGCAGATGAGATCGCCACCTGCGCCACTTTCGGATTGGGATGTTGCCACGCCAGCTCGAACAGTCCCTGCATCCGCTCCAGGCATTTCTGCACCAAGGACTGTTCAGAGTCCAAGGACTGAACTTCCTCCCCTGCCTGCTCCTCTCTAGATGCTTTTGACAACATCGCCATGGCAGAGATGGCAGGCACCAGCATGGCAAACGCATAGACCAACACACGCTCGGCCTCTGGCAAGTGAGCTGAGTCCATTTTATCGATGACAGAAGCACACAGCTTATTGGAAATGAGGGCCAGGTAGAGGAGTTGCCTACTGGCCTGTGAGGAGCCACCTCCGCTGGGTGTGGTGGAGAGCATGCAGCAGACCTGCTTCCAATGTTTCAAGGTCAAGGATGGATGGCTTTGGACTAAGGACTCTGGGAATGGCGAAAGAAGAAGCCAAAGCCATGGACAAGTCTCTCCAACCACCAGATCTTCCTCCGTCTCCTCTGCCAAAGCTTGTGCCATGAGATCATCCTCCAAATCTTCTGTGGTGTCCGGACTGTTGGGCAACGCCTCCTGGAGCCACCACTGGAAGACCTCCAGTGTCATGGCCAAATGCTTTTCGGAGACATCCGATTTGCGCATAGTGGCTGCGACCACGTGCAGCGCATATCCACCAAGCATTGAACGGCTCGACTGGCCTTCCGGATCATCACTGCATAATCCCTCTAGCCAAGGAGTGTCCACAGCGCCAGACTTGTGCACGGCAGTCTTTCGGAAAAGCACCTCAGACACTCCATGCATGAGCTCCATCAAACTCATCAGCAAAGCCTCGCAGCGCGCAGCTCGGCAAAATATATCTTTCCACAAACAACCAAGTAAGTCCATGAAGGTGCTGAGGCTGACCGCCGCGTGCTCCTCAGTCTGCGAAGCGAGGATAACCTGGCGCACAGTGTCGACGAAGACCTGCAAATCCTCAATGGTGGCATCGGGCAACAGGGTCACGACAACACCCAAGGACAGGGAGGCCAGTTCTTGGCTGAGCACCCATGATTTGGGCCCGAAGGCGGTGGGTGACGACCTCTTGGCGGGGAGTGACATGTCGGTGCACATGGCACAAACCCCCCGTAGCAAGGATGGAACAGCATCTCGAAAGTAGGGCTGCACAGTCTTGTAGTCAGCAAAATTGAAGCAAGCAGGCTGATAGCTCTTCACACTTTGCAGTGGCAAGCCCGCCAGCAGCACTGCGGCGTCACGCAGCGCGTACTCAATCCACCTGCTCAAATGCTTGGAGTAGGCAGCTACTGCAGCCTGCTCTTGCGACTGCCCGGAGTCCAGCACTGCACATGCGCAACGAAGTCGAAACAGGAAGGAACCTTGTGGACGGACGGTGGCGATTCTTTTCATTCGTTTTGAACGGCACTGAGGTTGATGAACAAGTTCCAAATGATTGAACAAATGAATGAATAGGCTCCTTCAAGGAAAGAACCAATTATATACATATAATTGTAGCAGGGGATTTTTTATATACACAATTATATATATATATATGTAAAAGCAGTGTCACCAGGACGAGCCGTTCCTTCAGGCACCTTTGGTTCGAGGCCGAACAGCGGAGAAAAGTGGCCGCACGGTTTGGAAGGGTAGGATCCCTTAGGACTGGGCCGATCGGCCCGTGTTTTCACATTGGTAGCGGAGCCCCTGCCCACAGGGGCAGGGGTATCCAGGTAGAGCGGTCTTAGGTTAGACGGTGAAGCTCAAAAGCAGTGTCACTTTTGTGCCATGGCATCTTCAAGTGATGGTTCAGCTGGCATGAAACGGTTCAGCGGTGAAAGTCTGGACCCCAAAGAGTATCGTCGCTGGAGGTTGTGGGCTCTGGCCAAACTGGCCTCCATGAAGGATATGCAACCGGGACAACGAGGCCCCTTCATTTTCTGTTTGCTTGACGGATTGGCCCTGGAGACAGTTGAACACCTCACGCTTGACAAGATGCGCGAGGAGAACGGAGATAAACATATCTGGGCTGCCCTTGATGAACGCTTCCCTGACAAATTGGCTCATGACCATTTGGCTGAGTGTCTCAAGGAGGTTTTCGAATTGCAAGCAGTTGAGGGGGAAAGCATTGCTGCCTGGTGCTCCCGAGTGCAGGAGGCCTTCTCCAAGTGCCGCCGTAAGGTCGCTGTGGATTTCCCGTCGGAAGCCAGGGGTTGGGTGTGTCTCAACTCTTCTGGTTTGTCGTCCGATCAACGTGCCATCGTGACGGCAAAAACACAGGGAGATCTGAAGCTGGAAACAGTGGTGGCTGCGATGCGCAGTTGTTTCCCGGATTTTCGGGTGAGCAAGCGACCTACAAGAGGAGCCTACATTGTTCATCATGAAGAAGCAGAACCTATCCCACCGGAGACGGGGCCGGCTCCCGAGCCAGAAGGGCCCGATTCTGTTGTGTTTGATGAACTGGAAGCCTTTTTAGCAGAGCATGGAGTACAGGACAGTACAACAGCCAGTTCCGACATCTATGAGGAGGACGAAATTGCTGAAGTGTTGGCAGCAACATGGAAGGAGCGTCGATCTGAAATCTCGAAGCTTCAGAAGACACGGAAGTTCCAACAAGCCAACACGCTCAAGAAGCAGTTCTCCAGAGAGGTGACCGACCTTCAGAAACGTTCTCGCTGCCGCCGATGCAACCAGATCGGGCACTGGGCAAGAAATTGTCCCCAAGCAGCGAGCACCTCAGTCAAGGCAGACAAGGAGAAGGTCAACGGAGCCGCTGTTGTGACACATGAGGTTTTGCTTGTGTCCTCCCCAGGCTATGGAATCATTGACTCGGGCTGCAGTCGGACCCTTATCGGTCAGGAGACTCTGGGTGCTTTCCTACGCCTGTATCATGAGCGACACATGCAGTCACCCACTTCTCGCTCGGAGCAAAACCTGTTTCGTTTTGGCAACGGACAAGAGGAGCTGTCAGAGCGGGTGGTGTCAATGCCAGTGATCATCCACGGCCGCAGAGGCCGAATAGACGCTGCTGTCATCCGAGGCCGCGCTCCACTCCTCCTCAGTCGAAGCACGCTGAAGAGCCTCAGGGCTGTCCTCGACTTCTCGGAGGGAACCATTGCCATGCAGGGCGGGGAGCCCCATCCGCTACAGTTGAATGAAGCAGGTCAGTTCATTCTCAATCTCATGGACTCCGACGAGGCCTTGGTGGTGGAGCAGGAGCAAACATCTCCATCGAGTCCAGAACAGTGGCAGACTGGGCCCACTCGCTTGTGCACGACACGTGAGCAGCGATGTCTCCTGGCTCAACATCGAGCTTGGAACAAGACTGAAAGCACATGTGTGGTGGCCGAGCTGTTCTCACCGCCACGGTTCAGTGACTATGCTGCAAAACGGGGAGAGAAAGGGCTGTCCTACGACATCAAGCAGGGCTGGGATCTGTTGAAGACATCCGTACAGAAACAGGTCGATCAACAGCTGGAAGATGAGAAGCCCGAGCTCCTCGTGTGTTGTCCAGAATGCAAACATTGGGGGGGTTGGTACCGGCTCAACAAAACCCGACTTCCCTTGCTGGAACAACTGCAAAATGAGCGCATTGCCCAAAGACAAGCTGACTTTTGTATTCAACAGATCAAAAGGCAAATCAAACGTGGTGGTCGTGTGTTGGTGGAACACCCCTGGGCGAGTGACCTTTGGAAGTATCCACCCATGGCCAAGCTGCTGAAGTCAAATCAGCTTGTGGTGCACCGCGCCAACATGTGCGCATATGAGTTGAAGGACCCAGACAATGGTCAGCCGATCCTCAAGACAACCGGTCTTGCCGTCTCGCATCCCGACATGGCCTCTCTGGCCTTGCAGTGTCCAGGACCGGAACATCACAAAACACACCAGGTCATTGCCGGACATACACACACAGGCATGTGCCGTAGTAACCATTGTGCAGCATACACCAATGAGTTCGTAGCGACATGGATGTCTTGTGTTCGACCCCATTGGAACCTGTGTCTGTTCGCGTGTCTGCAGGAGAGTTTGTCAAGTGAGGGGCTGGAGCTGACGGATGAACAAAACCATGAAGTGTGTGCCGCGGCTCAAGTGCAAGACCCAGAGAAGGTAAAGACACTAGTGAAGAAGTTACACAACAATTTAGGACATCCTTCTACGAGAACTCTAGTTCGTGTTCTGAAGAATGCCGGGGGTTCTCCAGAGGCCTTGCAAGCCGCCGAGCATGTCGAAGGTGCGTGTGACATTTGCATCAATCGACAGAAGCCGACACCAGCCTTGCCAGTCAGTCCGGATAAGCCGTTGGATTTCAATCATAGGGTAGGATGGGACGTCAAACTCTTACCAGGATGGCAGGTGAACCAACAGATTAAATGCTTGAACATCATCGATTTCGCCACCAGTTTCCAAGTTATGGTCCCGTTCTATGAGAAAGAAACCAATGAGCTCCTTCGTCGCTTGTTCAGAGAGACTTGGCAACGGTGGGCCGGCATTCCGGTGGAAGTCATCACCGACCCAGCGAAGACAAATACCGCTGAAGCTGTGTTCCAGCAATTGGAACAAGATGGGACTCGCATGATCACCAGTGCGGCGGAGGCTCATTCTCAGTTAGGTAAGGTAGAAAAGCATGGACACCTGTTCGAGGTTATCTTGCAGAAGGTACTAGATCAAGCTCAACCCAAGAATAAAGCAGAGTATGAACAGTGCATTGTCCAAACACTCAATGCTAAGAATGAGTTGTTGAATCAGAAGGGTTTGTCTCCTTGCCAGCTGGTGTTCGGGCGTAATCCCCGGGTACCTAGTGATTTGATACAAGAATGGCCGTGTCCTGTTGCCGGAACCACACCTTTGCATGATGAAATGGCAGCCAGAGCTCAGGCAATTCGCACTCAGGCACGGACTGCACTGGTCATGGCTCAGGACGACCAAGCTCTTCGAACAGCGCTCAATGCTCGACCCCGGGCTGAACGGGATTTTCTTCCGGGAGACTATGTTGCTTACTGGAGAACCCAAAAGTATGAGAAAGGCATCCGTTTGGTGGGGGGTCGTTGGTTTGGGGTGGCAATCATCATGGGAAAGATCGGTCGCAACTTCTTGATTTACCACAGGAAGAACATATTCAAGGTAGCCCCCGAACACCTTCGTCATGCATCCCCCGAAGAGCGGGTTATGGCCCAAACTGAGGGCAGAGAGCTCCTAGGACTCAGTGCCTTGCTGCAGGAGGGAGAGAAAAACCCCTTTGGACATCAGTTCACGGATCTCACAGGGACACCCACACCAGTTGCAGCCTTGAACAATCAAACGGCTAGTTGTGAAGATTACTGGATTCGTCGAGGTGGCCTCCTGTGCCGAGTGCATCGGATTCCGCGAACTGAGACGTTCATGCCTGATCCAAATGACCCCGAACTCCGAGGTTTGTCCCTTGAGAACTATCGAAAGACCATCAATGAAGACACTAAAGAATGTGTAGTGCATCAGGTCCTGTCCGCACCAGAACACAGAGTCACCGTCTGGGGGGAAACACCATGGACGGGGGAGTCACAGTTCAGGATCAGGGAACAAAGGGCCCGGACTGACAGTCCAGGCACGGCAAGCGCAGTGCCGGCCGAAGCCAGTTCGACGCCCGTCGTTGACACATCCATGCAAGAAGTCCTTCCGGGAGCAGTAACGTCCAGCAGTGCAGTATCTCCATCCTCAACGGTCAATCCCCGGTTAGCTCCGTTCGAACCGAAAGAGGCTGGTGACCAAGAGTCTCAACAATACGGACCAGTCAGATTGAGACAACACTACAAGAGTCCACCACTGTTCCTGATTCGTCCCCCAGAAACAAAAATCGATGACCTCCAAGAGATGTTGACCGAATCGCATGGAACCAAAAGAAGTCTTTCCCCGGAAGGCAAAGCAAATGTGTCGAACAAGTCCTCAAGAGTCGAATCCGAGGGTGATGAGTGCCTCTTTTCGGAGCTCGCTCGTGAGAGTGGACCAGCGCCGTGTGTCGAGGTCTTGATTGCCAGTTTTCTTCAAAAGAAAATGCAAAAAGAATTACACCATTCCAAGAATCCTCCTGAACTTCAAGAACAAATCGACCTGTCCAAGACCACGGAATGGACCACGTTGAGAGACGAGAAACGAGCTTTGAAAGTGATTCCTCCTCGTGAAGCCGATCGAATCCGCACAAACAAACCTGATAGGATCATGACTAGTAGATTCGTAATCATCGAGAAAACAGAAGACGGCAGCAGCAAGATCAAAGCGAGGTGGTGTCTTCGTGGCCATCATGATCCCGACTTGTTCAGCAAAGTGCTTGCCGGAAAGTGCCACTCACCGACATTGTCTCAATTCGGCCGTAGCTTAGTCCTACAAATGATAGTGAGTCACCAGTGGGTGATGCACTTGGGAGACATAAAAGGAGCATTCTTAGAGGCCGATGTCAAAGAAAAAGCACTTGCCAATCCGGTATACGCCGAACTGCCTCCGGGCGGGGTTCCCGGAGTTGAACCGGGTTCGTTGGTTCAAGTGTTGGGAAACATCTATGGGGCAAATGACGCTCCTCATGAATGGTATTGTGAGTTCGACCGAGTCGCCACTGCATCAGGGTTTGTGAAGAGCAAGTTTGATAACTGCTTGTACCTCTGTTTTGGTTCTGATGGTAACCTTGAGGGCGTGCTTGGGGCTCACGTTGATGACACCATTACCGGGGGAGAAGGACCCTGTTATGAAGCCGCAATTCAGAAGCTGAGGGACAGATTTCCCTTCAGGAAATGGAGGTCCGGGACTGGGGAATTCCTAGGCACAGTTTATGAACAAGATCCACAAACCAAAGAAATCTCCTATTGTCAACAGGAGTATGCAGAACATATTCGACCCATCAAGATCTGCAAGGAACGTGCCAAGCGAACCTGGCTCCCAGCAAATCCTCAAGAAGTGACGGCACTTCGAGCTGTCAATGGTGCCTTGAGTTGGCTGAGCACTCAGACTCGCCCAGACGTGGCAGCGCAGACCTCGATGAGTCAGCAGTGTTTCCCGAAGCCAACGGTTTTTGACCTTCTCCAGGCCAACCAGGCCGTTAGGCGGGCACGGCAGCAAGCCGACATGAAATTGAAGGTGCCATACATTCCCGTGAAAGAGCTTTCACTTTGTTTTTGGTCCGATGCAGCTTTTGCTAATTCCACTGAACTCAAAACCCAAGGTGGTTGGTTAGTTTCATTTACTTCCAACAAAGTCCGGCACGGTGCTGATGTCCCCGTTCATTGTTTTGCTTGGAAATCATATCGCCTTCCACGAGTCGTTTCATCGACCATGGGCGGAGAAGCTCAGGCATTCTCCACAGCAGCAGGGGTCTGCGAATGGGTCAGTTTAATGTTAGCAGAATGCCTAGATGGTCCTTTTGCACTAGAGGAAGCCGAAAGGGTTTTAAGCAGACGCTCGTCGATCGGAATCACCGACTGCCGATCGCTATACGATCATCTCGTGTCGCTGGGACAAGGGGGTGTCTTAGGAGACAAACGAACTGCGATCGACATTGCGATCATCAAGCAGTCCATGCAGCGTTCAGGTTTAGAGCCCAGGTGGGTACCCACCACTCATATGCTGGCAGATGGTCTCACGAAAGACAAAGCCGACCCAATAGACCTGCTGCGCTCAGTCCTGAGATCCGCTCGCTATCAACTGGCCGATGAACAGGCTGTCCTCGAGAGAAAGAAAAACGAACGAGAACGACGCAGGCAGCTAATCAGCAGTCGAGCCAATAAGGAGCAGAGTCAGAAGACTCAGAATTAATTCGATCAAGTTCGAAATAATCTTTCTTGTTTTTGCCGCCACGCCTTCAGTTGGACATTCATGCTTTGTACACTTGTGTGGAGTGTCAATGGGGACACTCAGAAAGACATGTTGAAGCAGGGAGAATGTCATTTTCGTTTGATGCAATGTTTTGTCTTGCGTGTGCTAGCTAACGCACCTCTCCCATAAGTTCACAGTGCAAACACTGTTAATAGCCTCTCAAATCCATGAGATAAGCTTGAGGAACTTGGTTTTCAGATTCTCAACCATCCGTGAGCCATTTTTGCTTCTCGTCAGCTTCCGAGCAGCAAGCGAGGGTGACCAACCAGCACCTCATCCTTGTGTGTCATGGCTTCGAGCAATACTCCAGTGACACCTGAGGAGTATGAGGCCGCAAAGGCCGTGTTGTCTCGAGCTCACCGAGCTGGGGTGGCTTCCCAAACTGGCCAATCCTCCTCCACCGGAGGTTCGATGAATGATGCATCGAAGCGGCTCCGCGACCAGCGTGACATTGAGCTAGATGAGCAATGGGAGCCCGTGGCATACTCAGAGCCAGAAAAGCCCATGTGTGAGGATCGCCTCAACCCATACAAGATGAATGACCAGAAGCCCATCATGAGCAAGCCCGAGACTTCGGTGGTACTACCACCGGGAATCTCGTGCATCGCCGACTGGAGCACGACGATCTGCAGGCTCCCCAAGGTTCAGAAGCTAGGCATGACATATGCCGAACTTGTTGCCAGCCGTGATCATCACGGATACCTGACATGGATCCAACAGCACGGCAAAGGCCGTGGAGGAAAGTTCGAAGACCTTGCCTGCTACCTTGAGGCCATCCGATTCGCCGACTCCAAGGGCTACAGCAGTGATCCACAGAAGACATACCCCAATAGCTGCGAGAAGCGTGAAAAGAGGTAATTCCTGGTGGTCATGAAAAGACAGCTGCACAATGCTCCAAGCTTCGAAGTTTGTGCCAGAGGATGCATGAGCATTTTCGTATAAAGTAGTTGGAGTGTAAAAGCAGTGTCACCAGGACGAGCCGTTCCTTCAGGCACCTTTGGTTCGAGGCCGAACAGCGGAGAAAAGTGGCCGCACGGTTTGGAAGGGTAGGATCCCTTAGGACTGGGCCGATCGGCCCGTGTTTTCACATATATATATATATATATATGTGTGTGTGTGTGTGTGATATATGCGTCTGTTTACATATGTCCGTGAACACATCTCCTTTTTTGTGCTCTCATGATCGTTCTCGCCTGTGGAGGCTGCCTCTGAGAAGAGCGGATCCGGTTCAAAGCTCTGACTGGAGAAGGGCTGCATCAGCAAGGAGATCAACCGCTGAGTCGAGGTGCAGGCCCGCACATGGATGACATCCCGCAAAAGCTCGACGGCCAGACGCACCACCAAAGGGTTCGCCGAAGCACGAAGGTTATGACCTGAAAAAAACAGGTGGCCGCTTTTGGCCGGTCGATTGGGGACATGGGGTTTTCCATGGTTTTCCCACGTTTTCAGCATGCCTTTTCAAACAAACACAAAGCCACATCGAGAGGCAGGCGGCACGTGCTTGCAGCCGTGTACCTCCTATCTCTATTTATGTACCTCTTTAGTTTTTGGGGTTGCATTAAGCGGAGCTGAAGTAAGGTCGAAATGTAGTTCCGTGTGTCTTCTTTCGCCGGTCGCTCTTCTACCTGCTCCTCTACCTTTTCCTCTGTCCATCCATCCGTTTCTTTCTAAATGCCAATCAAGCCCCTAAAAAAGGAAGCCAAAGCATCAGTCAATATCAGTATATAGCCGGATGAAGTTGTATACAGCATGCTAGGCACAAATGAGTTGGGAGATGCCCCAGTTACGCGTTCGGTGATGGCGGATTGGTTTTCGTTCGGGAGTCCTAACTCTCTCCAGCCGGCGCACCGATGGGACACCGCATGCCATGTCTTACTGAGGGTGTGACGGATGCAAGTGGTCATCTGCGCTTCCGATTGCACCAATAAGAGCGGGCAGTCGACACCTTCCAAAACAGGAAGAAATAGAGCAAAACTTCTGGGCCCAATCTGCCTGGCCCCATGTATGTCTACTACATGTAGGGAGGGAAGTGAACAATCCTACTCAATGAATCCGAGTCTGCACCTCTTTCCCCCATTTCTTTAGGTAGTCAGATGCACGGACCAAACCACGCCTTCGACTTGCGCTTGTACATCCTTGGTATGCTGGAACCTCCCCACGACCAGCAGCATGAGCCGCAGCCCCGCCGCGGCCAAGGACGCGGCGTCCGAGCTGGCCGCGTTCACGGCGATGCCCACCAGAAGATCCAGGTGGTTAATGAACTTCCTGTCTGCGGGCAGGTCGCTCCCACTGTCCGGTTGGAAGTGAACTGGGTCCCTCTGTGGCACTTGCTCCAGCAACAGCTGGACACAGGACACAGCAAAGACCTTCGTGGTGGTACAACTTGAGAGCTTCTGCTTGCTCTGCTCCTGCTTCTGCTCTGCAAATGATGCTTCGTCATCCACTTCATCGGCCATGCGGTCTTCACTGCCCTTCCGCGTGGAGGACTTCTCCTCGGGGCCACCTTTGGAAGGCAATGCCAGCACCACTTGTCGCAGAGCTTGCAGCCAACTGGGCAGCTGACTGAGGCCATTCGCGTGAAGCAAGGCCAAGATCAGCTCCTGCAAAGCTTCAGCCTCTGCTCCCTTTGAAGCATCAAGTAGCTGAAAGAGTTTGGTCCTGTCAGCGAATAGCCTTGTCACATCAGAGCCCGCAGTTGCAAGTTGCCAAAGACATTGTGCAGCATAGGTGCGAACAGCGCAAACTTGAGCCTCACCCCCTTCCGGGCCGCACAGCTTTTTGGCTGGCAATGTGAGCAGCGCCTCGGCGGGAAGCAGCCTCCCAAGGAATGGCACTGTGCCTTAAATGCTGCGTTGTCAGGGTCATGGATGTTGGATGTTGTATGATTTTGTGCACAATGATGCAAAACGTTTGGGTCTCCTACACCAAGGCCAACGGACCCAATCAAACCGTTCATGTTCCCTTTTCTTGAAGGCAAGGTGCGCAAGCAAACCACCTCCGCACGAACCATAGCGAAGGTATTTCCAGTTGGTTGCCCATGATCAATGTGCTGCAACACCTTCCATATGCCCGACAACAAATGATCTTCTCGTCCATCAGACTCCTCACTGGTCGAAAGCACAACGGCAGCTGAACGAGTCAGCTCTGACACCACCCAAAAGATCAAAGGTGCCTCAAAGAAGTCTGCTAGAAGATGAGCTGTAGCCAGCCGCAAGGTCTCCTTCATGAAGGGTGAGAAAGCATGGCCCGCAGCCTCCATGCTGATGTGCAGGGCATAGAGCATCCACAAGCGGACCGGCTGGGCTGTTTCCTTTGCCAACTTGAGGAGGCTCGGCACGATGTTCATGATGTAAGGGCAATGAAAACCAGAAGAGTCACCTCCTTGAATCTTCCATCCCCACGAAAAGGCACGGAGAATGCTACCACACAGCAGCGCCAAGGCCGAGCGTTCCCTCAACCAGCTCTCCTTCGCCTCTGCTTTGGGTTCAGTGTGTTCAGTCGTGATCACCTGGAGGATCTTGGGGACTACAGGTGAGCTGGGGAGCTGGTGGTGCCCGAAGAAGAGAGCCGCCAAAATCTCACAATAGAGCCGCCGGAAAGCTGGATTGCTTTCCTTAAGCCCTGCCAGGGCCAAGTGCATGGCCTGCTCTGCAGCCTGTGCGGGTGGGGCGGCGCGCAAGCCCCGCATCCTATGGTGTTCCCGGAGGTAAGACAAAATGGCCACTGAGGCCATAGCATGTACTTCTACACCACTTCCCACACTCTCATCAGCCTCTTTCCTCTTCAACAAGTGCTGCAGCACCACGGTGCGGGGAGCCTCGCCCACCTCAGGAGCATTGAGGATGATGGACAAAAGCTTTACGGAGCTGCACCTCCAGTCCCATTCGGCCGACATACACTGCCCGGCCAAAGGCTGAGTGGAGTCACACCAGGCATCCCAAGGCATCAACATGCAGTCGGTCCCGCCAGGACTCTCCCGATGAAGGAAACTGAAAATGCAGGCAGCCCCAGCATCAGCACCCAAGTCCTCCTCGAAAGGAGCTCCATCTTTGCCTTTCTCCTGAGCTGACAGCAACTTCTTCACAGCCAAGCGGGTCGAGGAGGCACAGTTGGGGCTAGTCTCCATGTGTCCATCGACCAGATCCAAGACCACATCCGTCTGGTTGCCCACCAACTCCGAGATCAGCTCCGTGATGGGGAACTCATTTGGCAAGGGCCTGGTGATATCATCGGCAAGCATGTTCAGAAGTGGTACAAAACGAGAGGAATAGAGTGAAGGTTGCATCGCAGCAAAGGTTCGGTACATAGTGGCACGAATCATCAAAAGAATTTCAGGAATGCCACATTGCCCGGACATGTTGATGATTGGTCGAACAGCACCCGGCTGAAAGGCATCCTGGCGATACTTGGCTCGGAAGCTGTTGGAGGTGGGGTGCGGCAAGGCCACGACGAGCTGCGAGATGTTGGTCAGAAAGACCACCAGAATTTTGTGAAGATGAGGCAAGGTAGTGAGGAGAGTGTCTTTGGAATGCCACGTGAAGGCGTACAACGAACGCAGGGCAAAGAGTAAGGAGAGAAGCTCATCTCGACACACGTTTGCACTCATGTCAGCATTTGAGGCACTACTCTTGGAGGAAGTCGATGCAACATGCTCCTGGTAGATTACCTTGGCACGGTCCACCGGCTTTTTCCCCAAAGCCGTCTTCCACAATGCAAACAACGTCGTCAGACGCTGCCCAACCCAATCAGAGCCCAAGCACATCAAGCCCTCCAGCAATAGGAAAGCACAACAACGTCTCTGTGCGCTGATAGCCGGGGATGGATGTGCTTGCAAAAGAGCACCTGATCTCAGTCCAAACACTACGCCGGCGAACCGGATGGTCATATCAAATGCACTTGAAAAGGTCAAAACGGTCCGAAAAACTTGCTTTTGTTTGTTTGTGTTGATTTATAGCTTCAGTCAGTTTCTGGTCACACGACTCTTCTTCCAGGTGTGAGGTTATCCCTTGTTTCCTGGGTCGGGATTTGTCCCACTCCGGTGTTTGTAACTGTCACACTCACCCAATCTCCCGTTTGGACAGGCTCACCTGAAGTGCCCAGCACCGCAGACAGCACATCATGGGGTACTCCCAGCTCGCTGCTGTACAACTCGCTGCTCATGGCCGCCAACGCAGCGCAGTAGCCAAAGAGCCCCCGCACCAGTGGCTGTAAATCTGCATGTGCAGCCGCCGCCGCCACGGCCGTATCACCTGCCACCATCTGTCCATTGGCATCTTTTCGGCGCAAGGGCGTGCCTAAGACTTCGGCATTCTGGACAGTGGACAGGTTCAGCAACACACTCAGCAATTGGAAGAGCTGCGGCGGCGAGCCATGACCTACACATCTGAGGCAATAGGCAGCATGCAACTGGATGGTTGCATTGGGATAGTTCCCCACGATGTGAAGCAAGGGCTTCGTCACCTTTGTCTCAATTCTCCGAAAAGCTTCTCCAGAAGCCACGCATGCACTGCACAAGGTCTCCAACACCACCAGCATGCGCATGTCCGTACTGCGGGACGTCTCATGAAATTGTGCCGATGCCATGGGAAGAAGTCCTTGTTCTACGAAGTCGTTCAAACATCCCTCTGTCTGGGCCAAGCGTAAGAGCCTTTGCAAAGCCAAGCTGATCTGCCGAGTGACTTGCAGGAGCTGCTCCTCGTCAACCAGAGGCGCTCGACCCTTGGCACTGCTAGGCACATCCAATGAATTCAGCAACGCACGTACCACTAAAGATAGGGTGACTGCATCACTCACTCCCTGTGCCTCCGCCAACAACACGGCAGAAAGACAAACAGAGGACCTGAAGGGCGCGAAGGCTGGGCCGCTGTTGGGGCCCTTGACAATGGCCTGCTCTAGAAAGTCCACCGCAGAGGCAAAGTCGGTGACCACGGGTTTCTTCTTCGGCCGATCGGGTGCCGCGGCCGCGGCCGGCGAGGCCATCGCCGCCAGCACGCGCGCCAAGGCGGTGGTGAAAGCGAAGCGATTCTCCGAACAGGTCGAGGTGAGTTGACCCATGGGATCTTCAGTGGCCAACACCTTCAAACAGGTCAGAGCCATGGCTTCGCCATTGGCGCCGGCACACATGGGGCATGAAGTGGCCAGAAGTGACAAAGCATTGGCCGCAACCGTGCGAACAACCAGCACCTTGTCGACTGTCACCTTTTGAAGCATCTTCCAAATGTTTCCAGCTGTGCTTAGCTGCCGAACTCCTACAGACTTCATGATCCTGCACAGGTTTTGCAATGCAGAGCTTCTGGTACTAGCCGCACTCGCCTCGCTCATTTTGATGTGCTTGGCGACCAGGGCGAAAAGGTCATTGCAGAAAGGCTCCAGAGGAGCACCATGATGAACAACAAGTTGCCCCAGCACATCCAGTGCTGCCACCTTGGTGTCAGTCACCTTCTTCGAACTATCCCCCAGCTGCAGGAGTCGGCTCACAAAGTTGGGCAACACAGATGAGTCGCTCAACTTAAAAATAATGTTTAACACGGACACCACCAGAAGCCGTAAAGTCTCAGTGGCATTTTGCGTCAGAAGCTTCTCACACAAGTCCTCAAATCGTGCACGATATTCGGAAACTTCAGCTTTGGAGGCGGAAGGGAGCAACTCTTCCATCTGAGCCAAGGCTTCCAATTTTCGTGCATTGGTGATTGAACCATTCTCTGCTCCAGCAACAGCCGACTCCAAGATTTTCAGGCAATCACCGAAGCTTTTCGTTGAGGATGTCATTGTGGTATGGCGGCCATGCGTTTCATCTACTTTCAAGTCTCTAAGTGAGTGCTTGTGGCGCTTGTGATGTGTACGCTTCTCCTCACATGGGTGTTATGATGCTTTATGATGTGTACAAATGTGTACTGTCTGTATATATGCAGTTGGTGTCGACATCTGAAGGAATGCGTGTGCGAGTGAGGGCTGGCAAAAGTACTCAGCACCCTGCTTCACAATGTGGACAATTCCAAACATCTGCGGTCTGCGGACGAAGCAGCTGCGGCACATCAAGACCAGCGCTTGATGCAGAGCGGAGCAACACAACAACAGAACTCGTGTGTCTATTCGGCTCCCTTCGAACCACCCTCGTCCAACCTTGTGCTCTGGTTGCTCTGCCTGCCCACAAACTGGTCCAGTTTTGATGCCGTTTTGTGATGCTTTGGCTGCAAAAAGGTGCCTTCCGTTTGGTCCAAAGGTCGCCTGGAAGGGTCACCAATTTGGCCTCCTCCTTGGAGGGACGGTACAAGTGGCACCGACCTGGCGAAGGGATGACTGGGCGACCTGGCACACACCGGGCCTCCGTTTCGGCCGCCGTTTCGGCCTCCACCGACTCAGGGCACCGCAGGCGGCCGCTTTTCCCGTTTTTGGCTCATGGCTTCTCTTGAGAGAAGTCATTCGGTGTGAAGCAAGTGCAAGTTTTCTTGCTCTTTTCATTGACTAATCCGGACTGGCCTGTTGGGACACCCCGACCCAGCGCGAAGAGAGCAACAGGTAGGAGCCCTTCCGAGGCCCGCAAAAGCACAAGTAGTGGTCACCTGATTGCCCCTTAAAGGGCTACAAAGAAACGATGTGTTCTTTCGGGCCTGGCTGCGAGTAGAAGAAGCGCCTTGCATCTCAAAAATTCACTCTTTTCCCCTCTCTCTCTCTCTCTCTTTCTCTGTGCTTCTGGTGGAGCTCTGGGCCCAAGGCGGCTGAGTGAGGAGTTGAAATTGGCTGCCCCGGCAAATGCTTGGCCTGTGTGAAAAAAACCAACAACAAACCCTAGGTGCTTTGCACAGGTGTGCATATGTTTGAACACCGTGCCGACACCCTTCGGAGCTTCTGCCTTCCAGAAGGATCGAAAAGAGCTGGCAAGGATCCTGACAAATCAGCTGCTGCTTAGCACTCAGCGAGCTCAGCGGGCTCGCCACGGAAAAAGAACCGGACGGCCCAGCGCAAAGTTGCATGCAACACGCGCAGAGAGACCAAAAACAGATAGAGAGAGAGAGAGAGGCGAGAGAGAGAGAGAGAGACGAGCTCACGAGCTCACGAGTAAAACAAACCCATGCAGCAAAAAATCAAAACAGAACGAACCCATGAGTGAGTAGAAAAGACATGCCCCACCCCCCGCTTCCGAGTGTGAGACCCCAATCAGGCAAATGTGGGGCGGCCATTCCCAGCCTGAGTGCAAAGAAATGCGACGCAGCAAGCCTTGATGCACGTCCTGCGTCCCAAGAGGCTCTGAGTCCGCTCTCCCATCTCTGCCTGACTGCCTGGGGGCCCCCAACACTCCGAAGTTCACCCGCTTCTTGGGCGGCCGACGCGTCCAGCGGCGCAAGGACTCGGAGCCCTGCGGGGTGGCCCGATGCGTGGCTTCCGTCCACAACCCCGATCCATATGGGTACGGACTTCATGTTCATGAAGGCCAACCACGGCTCTGGAGGCGTAGGCTTTGTGCCTCTAGTTGGGCTTGCCGCTCCCCTGCTTGTGTCTCGGGGAAGTCGAACGGGAACTCAGGCCTTTGCCAACATTGGCACTGCAACGCATAAACCAGTTCCGTGTCAAGACCACAGCCAGCCATCTGCTCAGTCTGGCCAGGCTGCCACATCACTGGGCATCCCTACAGGCCACTATCTGCCAGAAGCTGATGTCGGTCGTGCACACCCACGGCCCGCGCCCCGGCGAAGTGACTGCGCAGCCTGGGCGATGCAGGGAGGACCCTTCGTTTGCGCCCGCACGCCAGGCATTGGCCGAGGCATAGGCCATAGCTTGCGATGCACACCTGTAGAGCGAAATCAATCCCAAATGGGTGGAATTCCATGTGGCCAAAGGGTGGATGATCAGAGGTTGAACTGCAACAAGCCTGAAGAATCTGAAGAAACCCTGCATATCCATCAGTTGTTGTCCAATACCACTTATATCAACGATGGTAGGACACGCACCCAGACCGGAGAGAGAGAGAGAGAGAGAGATAGGGAGGCAGAGCGGGGGGAAAGCAATACAGGAGAGGTCGAGCTATGAGACAAACATGATGACCCTATATGACCTTGATCTATGGCCCTCATTTTATGTCAAATCATTTACCGTATATCATTTAGATCAAATCATGTATATATATATATTGCAGAACTACAATTGAGCTCATTTATATCATTTGGCATCCATTATATAAATCTGATCAAGTAGCTCAGTGCCCCACCTGTGGCTGAGAGCACATCCACCCCAGCTCCCACGTCTGCCATCTTTCCGCCAGGTCTGAAAATCAACATCACCGGCACATAGCCATCCTCAGCAGGTTCGTCTACCCAAATCCGACCTTAGTCGAAGTCAATGCTTCAGCCCACGCAGTAAGGAATCGAGAAACATCATACATGCAGCACAGGTCGACAGTATATTATCTTCACAAAGCTGCGAAAACTGCGAAAACACTGACTCTGCTTCCCCATGGTTCATCTTCAGAACATACCTTGTGTGTCTAATGATTAGTCTAATGAATTCCTCGTTCTCAGGCCATCACTGCTCATGGCAGCTTCCACGGGCCATCGTGCCAACCTGAGAAGGATCCGATCGACTCCACCGGCTGCTTTCAGCGCTCGATCCAAGGTCTCCTCTTGAGAAGAAGGATGCGACCTTCTTTACAATTATGATACCTTTCTCCTAATAGCAATGGCCTCCAACCTACTAGCGATGGCCTCCAACCTACTAGCGATGGCCTCCAACCTACTAGTGATGGCCTCCAACCTTTTTGAACGGCTGTACTATTGCGGTTGGTCTGGTCTTCCTCGCGTTCGTCTCCTTTAAGCGAACACGGCACACCACACTAGTAGGGCACATAGCTTCCCATCTCCTTTGTAAGACCATCTTTGTAATAGTCGTTGTACCACTCAATAAATCTGTTGATTCCATCCTGCAGGGATGTTGTAGGTTTGTAGTCCAGCTCCTCCTCCGCAAGCGACACGTCAGCACTGGTCTTGAGCACGTCACCGGTGGGTGGCATAGGCACATAGTTCTTGATGGCCTTTTTGCCGATGGCCCTCTCAAGACACTCAATCATGTAAGTCACGGTCACTGGATCCTTATTCCCCAAATTGTACACCTGGGCAGCATGCGGGACATCGCTACGTACTGGAGCATCATATATATATATATATATGGTGGTTTGTTTGATATCTATTTATTGGGTGTAATCTCGCCCATTCCAGATTTAGGTGGTGGAGAAAGCTCCAGCTCTAAAGCACCTTCCAACAGCGCAGGACATGTTTTCGGGTGCACCCGAAAGTTGCCTGCTACCTTAGCTGCCTGGAAGGGATGATGCTGAGCCTCGTTTCACTGCTTGGCCACCACTAAGAAGTCACTGGAACTAGAGCCCTCCAAAACAGCGCACATCAGCACAATCCCCAAACAGCAACCACCAAAACCAAACCCCTCCCGCTTTCTCCCTCCCCCGCCGCCTCCCGCCACGAAGCCTCCCGCGCCTCCCGCCCCTCCCGCCCCTCCCGCCTTGTAGTGGGCCGTGGCCTTGCTGGACGCCGGGATCCGATCGACCGAGGCCACGCAGCCGGCGACGATGTCGTCGATGTAGGTGAAGTCGCGCTCCAACTCGGAGCCGCCGGGGCCCTGGAAGATCTTCAAGGCTTCGCCTGACAGCCAAGGCCGGTGTGGCCTCCGCTGATATGGGGTGAGTGTGAGGACCCCTCCCAACAAAATTAGAGGGGAACACCGAAAAAACTGACCGTGCATTGATCTCAATAAGTTTTTTCGCTAAGTATACCATAGGCTCCTAAGGGTTGTGTTATGGTGGTCATGTGCGAACCAACTGCCTCTAGGGTTTTTGTTGAGGGCGGTGGAGCTACCTTTCATGCTTTTCCCTGCTACAACTGCCATGTTGCAACAGTTTGTTTCCACTTACCTGGAGGGAAGAGTGATTGCCACCACCTCAACAAAACAAAACCCAGTCAACGAAACCGCTACGAAACAGTCCCTCCACTTGAGGATCTGCAAATTCGCAAAGAGAACGGCCGAAATCCGCCCCGAAAACGGGAGACGCTCGTTGTGGCTCCACTGCCCCCGCCTTTGTGGATCTTGATTGTAGCCGAAAAGGCGAACATGTCCGGTCGGCCCCAGGGGCCATAGACGGTGAAAAATCGAAGTCCAGTGAGTGAAAGCCCATAGATGTGGTGATAGGTGTGGGCGATCATTTCATTGGCCTTCTTGGTGGCTGCATAGAGGCTGGCGGGTCTATCCACCTGATGCGCCTCGGAAAAGGGGCTCACTGTGTTCAGCCCATACACTGAGCTCGATGATGCATAAACCACTCGAGGCATTGGATCAGCGAAGCGACACGCTTCGAGGAGCTGCACAAAGCCCGAGACATTGGATGAAACATAGGAAGCTGGATCCTTCGTTGCGTAGCGCACCCCTGCCTGCGCGGCGAGGGCTAGCACATGAGTGACTTTGTACTCCTGCAGGATGTGGTCCAGCATGCTTCGATCATTTAAATCTGCCTGAAAGGTGTAAACACCCTCTTCTTGGAGGGACTGTGCCCGATCATACTTGATGCCCACTGGATAGTATGCATTGAAATTGTCCAGACCAAGCACTCCATCTCCACGCTTTTTGAGAACTTTGGCGCAATGATAGCCTACAAAGCCAGCCGTGCCAGTTACCAAAACCACACGGCCGGTAGTCGACTTGCTTGATTCGGCGGCTGTTGTAGTGAGCTTGCGCTTCTGTGGCCCCTCGGAAGGCATCTGAAATGATGCAGGCTGCAAATGTGGGAGAGACTGCCGTGCAACCTAGGAACCCACGACAATGTGT